GTCTAAGAGATGCAACAAGTTCTTTTGCTTCCTCACTTACAGGGGGAGGTGGCAGCTGCAGCAGCAGCAGCAGCAGCAGCAGCAGCAGCAGCAGCAACAGCAGCAGCAGATGCATATGACGTAGCAGCAGCAGCACGAGCAGCCCAGACAGTAACAGCACTTGTCCCCTACGTTAGCAGCAAACAGCAGCAGCTGCTGCTGCAGCAGCAGCAACAGCAACAGCAGCATCATATACAGCAGCAGAAACACCCTAAATAGCAACAGCAACAGCAGCAGCAGCAGCAGCAGCAGCAGCAGCAGCAGCAGCAATACCTGCAGCATATCTGAATAAGCCTTAACATCAGCAGCAAGACGAGAAGAACGAACAGGCGTAGTAATAGACAGGAAATCCCTTAGTGCTGCTTCTTGCTGCTGCTGCTGCTGTTGCTGCTGCTGCTGCTGCTGCTGCTCCCAATCAACTGATGTATAATCATCATCTGCTGCTAATGGATCCAACTGCTGCTGCTGCTGCTGCTGCTGCAGCAAAGAGTCACAGTAGTGCTGCGGTGGCTCCTGCAGCAGCAGCTCCTGCTGCTCCGTTACGTAGTGTAAATCCACCACAAATTGAAGAAATGGCTGCAGCAGCAGCAGCAACAGCAGCAGCAGCAACAGCAGCAGCAGCAACAGCAGCAGCAGCAGCAACAGCAGCAGCAGCAAATGGGGCAGCAGGGAGGTACAATGCATGCAACTAATCAACTAATCTTGATCATATTGCTGCTGCTTCTTTAGGAAACACCAGCAACTGCAGCAGCAGCCACAGCAGCAGCAGCAACAGCAACAGCAGCAGCAGAAGCACCAACAGCAGCAGCAGCAGCAACAACAAAGCAACAGCAGCAAGAGTTGGTTATAATATATTACCTTCCTTGTTTGTTGCGCAAGACGTCTCATTTTTGCTGCTGCATCTGCTGCTGCTGCTGCTGCTGCTGGTCCCATGACTGCAACAGGAACTCTTAGACCTAGTACTGCATGCAGCTGCTGCTGCTCCTGTAGGTAGTAGTTGCTGCTGCTGCTGCTGCTGCTGCGTTGCCGCACCGATTTCTTTAATGCCTGTATACCTTGTACATGCTGCAGCACGGTTCCGTCCTGCTGCAGCTCCTGCTGCAGTTGCTGCTGCAGCTCCTGCTGCTGCTGCTGCAGCGCATCAAACTGCTGCTGCGCCGTCTCCTCCTGCTGCTGCGCCAGCAGAGCAAGACGAGGTATAACCCGCGTATTAATAAAGGAGCGCCTGCGGTGTACACACAGCAGCAGCAGCAGCAGCAGCAGCAGCAGCAATATGAGCAGCAGCAGCAGCAGCAGCATAAGTACCAGGACTAGCAGCAGCAGCAGCAGCAGAAGAGTGTGCAGCTTACCATACACGATCATGAATAGCTTCCTCATGTGCATAAGCAGCAGCATTAACAGTTTGCTGCTGCTGTTGTGTTAATACAATTTGTTGCTGCTGCTGCTGCTGCAGCAGTAGCGGTAATATTTGCTGCTGATGTTTTTTTATTTGCCTATATACTATTCTTGTTTTTTCCTCAATTATTTTTTTTTTTCTTTTTTTTTGTTTATTAATAGGTATTCTTATTTGCTGCAGTGTAGGGGGGAATTGTTGCTGCAGCTGCTGCAGTTTTTGCTGCTGTTGCTGCTGTTGTTTTTCTTGTTGTTCCTCTATAGGGAATGCGGTGTATAGGCACCTATTCTTCTGCTGCAGCCCCACACGCAGCTCGTAATGCTGACGGCGCATGCGCTGCAGGTAACGAGTACCTGGTTGTCTATCCTTAGGTCTACTAGATGCCATCTGCAGCAGCAGGGCACCACAGTTACTGCTGCTGCTGCTGTTGCTGCTGCTGCTGCTGTTGCTGCTGTTGCTGCTGCTGCTGGTAGTTGTTGTGGTGTATCGCCTGCTGCTGCCGCATGCATGCTGCTGCTGCTGCGACGGAACCCCACATAGTAGAAAACCTGCTGGAGGAGTTGCTGCAGTATCTGCAGCAGCAGCAGCAGGAGCAGGAGCTCCTGCTGCTGCTGCTGCTGCTGCTGCTGCAGTTGCTGCTCCTCCTGCTGCGGGAAGGGGAGGACGATGCTCTACATACACATGGGCAGTACGGCAAGTTGCTCTAGAAGGGAGCAGCAGCAGCAGCAACAGCAGCAGCAGCAGCAGCGCATGCAGATGCAGGCTGTGCTGCTGCCTCATTGCCTCCCGCCTGCTAATCCACTTCCGGTGTATAAGCAGCAGCAGCAGCAGCAGCCGCTGCAGCTGCTGCTGGTACTGCTATGTTGGCGGAGCTGCAGCAGCAGCAAATGTAAGATAATAATGTATTATATATACAGGCCCATCTTTTATGCTGCTGCAGCAAACGATGCTGCTGCTGCTGCTGCTGCTGCTGCTGCCCGCGTGCTGCGTGGCAGCAAAGGCAACTCTTCTTTTTTCCTTTTTTTTTGCTGCAGCATTTAAAATTTAATTTTGTGCTTTTGTCTTCTCCTCTTAAAGAGGCTGCATCAGGTGCTGCTGCCGCTGCTGCTGCTGCTCTTGCTGCTACTGCTGCTCGTGCTGCTGCAGCAGCAGCTGCTGGGTTCAACCTGAGCATACACCACAACGAAGTTGCTTCCCCCAGTAATCGTTTTTAAAGGGAAGCAAATAGGGCGTGCAGTAGACACAAGGAGGGAGCAGCAGCAGCAACAGCAACAGCAGCAGCAACAACAACAACAACAACAGCAGCAGCAGCAGCAGCAGCAGCAGCACGCGAGTTGCCCATAGAGCAACCGCTAGTACCAAGACACATCCTTTAGCATCCTGAGGTTTCTTTTGCTGCAGCAGCAGGTGCTGCAGTCGTCCTGCCCTCCATCCTTCTTGCTTCATTTGCTGCTGCAGCTGCTGCTGCTGCTGCTGCTGCTGCTGCAGCACCGCGAAAATGTCTAACATGGATCGATTTACTATCAACTCCCAACTGCAGCATCTGCAGAGTAAATATCCAGGAACAGGAAATGCAGACACTACTAAGCTGTACGTACACCCCAATTGCTGCTGCTGCTCCTGCTGCACCTACTGTTGCTGCTCTTGCTGGTGCTGCTGCTGTATTTGCTGCTCGTTGTCGTGCTGCTGCTGCTGCTGCTGCTCAGGGATTGGGGGACAAATATTCAGAGAGATACTTTGGCGTCCCATGTGGGACACTACAGCAGGTGAGGAGGACCTGCTGCTGCTGCTGCTGCTGCTGCTGCTGCTCTGCTGTTGCTGTTGCTGCTGCTGCTGTTGCTGCTGCTGCAACAAGAGCGTAGGAAAAACTTATTGCTTGCCTCTTGTGGATAGTTCGCTGCAGTTAATAGGCTCATTTCTCTTGCTTCTTCTGCTGCTGCAATTGCTGCTGCTGCTGCTGCTGTTGTTGCTGCTGCTGCTGCAGGTTGGCGTACTTCGCTGTTGCGGAGAACGAATGCATCAAGAGGATTCGTCTTCGATGCCTTGCTGTACGTACAGCTAGCTAGCTAGCTAGCTAGCTAGCTAATTAGCTAGCTAGCTAGATAATTAATTAACTAGGTAGCTAGCATAGTATTAGTGGCTAGGTAGTTGGGTAGCTGTCCAACAGCAGCAGCAGCAGCAGCAGGGGAGAGGCGTTGCTGCTGCATGCGTTTTGTTTTTGCTGCTGCAGCAAATGATACACCCTACAGCGGTGCTGCCTAGCGACAGTGCAGCAGCAGCAGCAGGAGAGACAGATAAAGAAGCAGCAGCAGCAGCATCAAAGGAGACAATAGAGGAGGAAGAAGAAACAAAAGAGGAGCAGCAGCAGCAGCAGCAGCAGCAGCAGCAGCAGGATGATGATGATAAGGATATGGACATGGAGGGAGATGACGTCTAAATGCAGCAGCAAATCATTTGTCTTGTCTTGCTGCTGCCCACAGCTGCCTAAGCAGCAGCAGCAGCAGCAGCAGCAGCAGCAGCAGCAGCAATATGCTCAGCAGCAGCAGAAGTATTTGCTGCAGTTGCTGTAGTTGCTACAACAGCAACCAGCGTGATGCTGCTGCATTTGCTGCAGTTGCTGCAGCACCAACAAGGGTGCTGCTGCTGCATTTGCTGCAGCGGCTGCTGCTGCAGAAGCAGCAGCAGCAGCAGCAACGGCTGCTGCTGCTGCTGCTGATAGTTTGTGGGCGGCGGTCCTTTAATAAGAAAAACCCTTATGTTGTTTCTCTATGGTGACCACGCAAACCCTAAACCCTCGTAAACCCTAAACCCTAGCAGTAAACCCTAAACCCTAGCAGTAAACCCTAAACCCTAGCAGTAAACCCTAAACCCTAATAGTAAACCCTAATAGTAGTAAACCCTAAGAAGGATATTTATTAGGGTTTAGGGTTTACTAAACCCTAATAAGAAACATCAATACTAAACCCTAATCATAAACCCTAGTCATAAACCCTTAACCCTAATCGTAAACCCTAGCCCTAAACCCTAATCATAAACCCTAAACCCTAGACCCTAATCATAAACCCTAAACCCTCGTTGTTAATTTGATTAAACCCTCTCGATCATTGCGAGTTGAATCTTCCCTCTTCTTTGCCGGCACGGCAGCCCAGCGGCTAGCTAGCTAGCTAGCTAGCTAGTTAGCTAGCTAGCTAGCTAGCTGTACATAAACAAAAAAAAAAAGCGCCAGCAGCACATTGACGAGTCTGCTTCCTCCTCCATAGCTAGCCACGTAGCTAGCTAGCTAGCTAGCTAGCTATCCATGTAGCTAACTAGCTAGCTATGTAGCTAGCTAGCGAACTACAAAGATGTCGGAAAAACATATGGGGAATGCACAGCAGCAACAGCAGCAGCAGCAGCAGCAGCAGCAAAGACACGCATGCGTCAGCTGCTGCCTGCGGATAATACAGGTGCTGCAGCAGCAGCTGCTGCTGCTGCTGCTGCTGCTACGCCAAAAGTTGTCCCCAGTTGTTGCTGCCTGCTGAATTCCCCTCTTCGTTGTGCAGCAACAGCTGCTGCTCTGTTAGGTCGTGCTGCAGCAGCAACTGCTGCTGCACCATATGCTGCAGCAGCAGCTCCTGCTGATCGTGCACCTGCTGCTGCTGCTGCTGCTGTTGCTGCTGCTCCTTCTCCCCTGTGCATCTGTCAGGGTCGCGTCTCTTCACGACCCGCACTGCGCGGTGTATGTACTGCAAACAACAACAGCAGCAGCAGCAGCAACAGCACATGCAGCAACACCAACACCAGCAGCAGCAACAGCAGCAGCAGCAGCAACAGCAGCAGCAGCAGCATACAGTGACTACGGCATTCGCTACAGTGTGAGCAGCAGCAGCAATTGCAGCAAAACACAAAGGCAAAGACACCCCCCATTAACACCACCTACAGCAACGGTGCTGCAGCTGCAGCAACAGCAGCAGCAGCAACAGCAGCAGCAGCAACAGCAGCAGCAGCAACAGCAGCAGCAGCAGCAGGACTAGGAGGACAATCGGACCCGCGACTTATAAAAGTCGTCGCCGTTGATGATGTTGCCTGCCGTCTTACTGTGGGGCGGAGGTCCTGCTGCTGCTGCTGCTGCTGCTGCTGCTGCTTCTGCTGCTGCTGCTTCATGATAGCTGCTGCTGCTGCTGTTGCTGCTGGTATCGCTGTCTGCAAGGGTGCTGCCAGGGTCTTCGATGAACTCCACAGCAGCAGCAGCAGCAGCAGCAGCAGCAGCAGCAGCAGCAACGGTGCTCGGGTCCTCCCACGAGTCTACGTAGTGCAAATGATTACTGTCGCTGCTGCTGTGTCTGCTGCTGCTGCGGCGGTTGTTGCTGCTGCTGCTGCTGCTGCTACCAGACTCGTCAGTCAATTTCATGTGCTTAAGCAGCTGCTGCCTCCTTGACTCCCTAAGCATCATTTGCTTCTGCATGCGGTACTGGTGCTGCTGCTGCTGCTGCTCCTGTTCCCGCTGCAGCAACCGGTGCTCCTGCAGCTTATCCCCTCTGTTGCTGCTGCTGCTGCTGCTGCTGCTGCTGCTGCTGGAGGGAGAAGTAAGCCATACAGCAAAAGATAAACCAAAGGCAAGACCCAATCCTCTAGCAGCATTTATTGGTATGTCTTGCTGCTGCTGCTGCTGCTGCTGCTGCTGCTGATGTCGCCAGTACTCCTCCCTCCACCTTTCCCAGCTGTTGGCCTGCTGCTGCCGTCTCCATTGCTGCTGCTGCTGCTGCTGCTGCTCCCATTCTTGCCAATACTTTTGCTGCTGCTGCCTCTGTTGATACCACCATTGGTCTTTGTATGCAGGCCCCTGGTGGCGGTACTGCTGCTGCTGCTGCTGCTGCTGCTGCCGCTGCTGCTGCTGCTGCTGCTCCCTCCAGTTGCCATAAGAGGAGCGTGCAGCAGCAGCAGCAGCTTCCTCGGCAAACAGCGCCTTTAGCCGTTCATAGTTCTGCTGCAGCAGCGCGAAATCTGCTGCTGCTGCTGCTGCTGCTGCTGCTGGCCTCTGATCAGGGTGTGTCTTCTTTGCTAGCAGCACATAACGCATGCGCAGTTTGCTGCTGCAGCGGCAGCTAGGGGGTAAACCAAAGTACTGCAGCAGCAGCAGCAACTGCTGCTGCTGCTGCCCTTGTGCCCCCGACATTGCGGTGTATATTATCCAAAGGAAGGCAACATCGGCTGCTGCTGCAGCAACAGCAGCAACAGCAGCTGGTCCTGCTGCTGCTGCTGCTGCTGCTTCTGCTGCTTCTGCCTTGGTGTGTCACGTCCGGATGATGCTGGTCGATGACGACGTCCATGTGGTGTCGTTGCTGTTGCTGCTTCTGCTGCTTCTGCTTCAGCTGCTGCTGCTGCTGCAGCGTGTGTTGTCGTTGCTTCTGCTGACGCTACTGCAGCAGCAACTGCTGCTGCTGCAGCAGAGACGCTGCTTCCCTTTTGTCTTGAGTTAAGAAGGTCAACTGCAGCAGGAAGCAGCAGCAAGAAGAGAAGAAGAGACACAATAACTGACACAAGCAGCAGCAGCAGCAGCAGCAGCAGGACAGCTTGCTGCTAGCTGCTTATTAAATAAAGAAAAAAAGAAGAAAATAAATAAAAGAAGAAAAAAAAAAGAATTGAGGTGTATATACACCTCAATAAGAAGAAATAAGAAAATTATTTTATAAGAAATATAAATCCTTAAGAAATTGTTATTAATACAACAACCAGCCAGCCCCCAGCAGCAAACGACAGCAGCAGCAGCAGCAGTTGCTGCTGCTGCTGCTGCTGCTGCTCCGGTTGCGGCTGCGGCTGCGGCTGCGGCTGCGCTGCGGCGGGAGCGGCTGCTGCTGCATGCATGCGCAGCAGCAGCCCTCGAGTGGGGTCCCCGTTTGCTTGCTGCTGCTGCTGCTCCCCACGTTGGGTAAGAAAAATGAATCATCTTTAAGAAAAGAATAAAAGGAGGGACATCTGCTTACGAGTAAGCTGCTGCATTTGCTGCTGCTGCTCTATTTTGGTTGCTGCTGAGGTGTATATACACCTCAGCAGCAGCAACAGGATGCGGGGTTATGATGGGGGGGAGGGAATTTGCTGCTGCTGCTGTACTGATGACTTTTTTTCTTTTTGTTTGTTTTTTTATTTTTTAATTATTTAATTAAAAATCTTTTTATTGATATATATATTGAGGGGTATACGCCAGCAGCAACAGCAGCAGCAGCAGCAACTGCAACAACTCGTGTGGGCAGCGCAGCAGCGACAGCATCTATTTGCTGTTCCTGTTGCTGTTTTTTCTTTTTATTTTATTTATTTATTTACTTTTTATTTTTATTTCTTCTTTATTTTGTCCATTGAGGTGCCTTACTCTATTTTCTTTGCTCTTCTCCTCCCTCTGCTGTCTATGCACCGCCCTCTTGCTGCTGCTCTTGTTGCTCTTGCTGCTCCTCTTGCTGCTTCTCTTGCTGCTCCTGTGAATCTTGTTTATGACTGTCTGATTCGTTGTATACGTGAGGTGTACATACACCGCAGCAAGGGAAGGAAAGAAGGATAACTTATAAATAAGCTTTCCTTTGTGTATATCTACGTGTGTATATACGTACATTTGTGTATATGTATATGTATATGTATATATGTGTATATACGTATTGTTTTATAGTGTGTTATATCTATATATCTGCTGCTGTTGTTGTTGTTGCTGCTGCTGCTGTCATCATCTAATCCTATCTCTCCTGTTGCTATCTCATTTGCTGCTACTCCTGCTGCTGCTGCTGCTGCTGCTGCTGCTGCTGCTGCTGCAGCGTAATATAATAGGATTAGACTATAAGAGGAAGAATCTAAAAGTACGACCAAGATCAAGAACATTAACAAGTGTACAAGATGCAATGCTTGATGATATTGTTGCTCCCTCTGAGGTAGTAGGAAGAAGGTAAGCTCCTGCTGCTGCTGTTTGCTGTTTGCTGTTTGCTGTTTGTTGCTGCTGCTGCTGCTGCTGTTGTTGTTGATGGTTGTTGTTATTGTTGCTGCTGTTGTTGCTGTTGCTTTTCCTCATTACCTGCTGCTGTTGCTGTTACTACTACTACTACTGCTACTACTACTACTACTACTACTGCTGCTGCTGCTGCTGCTGCTGCTGCTGCATGCATGCATGCATGCAGGTGGCGTGTACGGGCAGATGGATCTAAATTAATGAAGGTACATTTAGATCCAAAGGATAAGGCAAAAGATAATTTAGAGGAAAAGTTATGGACATTTGCTGCTGTATATAAAAAATTAACTAATAAGGATGCAGCATTCTTATTCCCTGATCATGTATATTAATTAAATATAAATAAATAAATAAATAAATATTTATTTATTTATTTATTTATATTTTATTTATATTTACTCTCCTCTACCTTTGCATGTATATATTTATATATTATATATATATATATTTATATATACACTTTCTTATGCATATCCTAATACCACTACTACCTTATATAGCTAGCTAGCTAGCTAGCTACCTAGCTACCTAGCTAGCTGGCTAGCTGGCTAGCTAGCTTCCTTGCTTGTTGTGTAATTAGTTGGCTAGCTAGCTTGCTGGCTAGCTAGCTAGCTAGCTAGCTAGCGGGCCTATTTGATGAGGAGATGCATAAGAAAAAAGGACCGCTGCATGCAGGGGTAACAACTTCTTCTTAATTCCTCTTAGCGGCGGAAGGAAGCCAACAAATAAATAAATAAATAAATAAATATAAATAAATAAATATAAATAATAAATAGATAGTATTATTGTATATTTGTCTAGTTGCTGCTTCCTTCTACTCCTAGTTGCAGTTTCTTATATAGCGTATTTATTATTTTATTGCTGCTATAGAGGAAGAAGACGCGTGCTGCAGCAAGAGAGAGGGAGAAGGGGATCGGGGATCGGTTCTGTGGGGTCGGGGATCGTATGGGATCGTGTGGGATCGGGCGTCGGGATCGGGAGTGTGGGGTCGATGTTGTGTAGGGTACTTAGGGAAAAAAAGTAAATTGTTAGTATATAAACCCCAGAGAATAATATATATATATATATATATA